TAAATTAAACATACCTATTCACAGTGCAGACTTAAGTAAGCAACCCAGGAAAACACTATATTCATGCTCATTTTTATCAGTCATCCTTTCTCCCGTTCTCCATCCCTCCTTCCAAGTTTCTTGCTCCTCTCTAAATTCCTCTTCTTTAAATTCTTAAGTCTGTCCCTAAATTTATCCTGTGCAGTTTTTTTTTTTCTGGGGGGGGGGGGGACTTGGTCTCTAATCCTTTTGCTGTCAAACAACATATTTTAGCTTCATCTACACTAGAGTTTCAAACTTTTTGGATCCAAATCTATAGTAGAAATACAGGAAGACACGAGTTTTGCATGAAAATACTTATTCTTTCTAAACATGATGTCCTTAACATTTTCTATTCTGGTCTATTTAATTTTTTAAATGCTGGTTGGACTTAGTAAATTGACTTTAAAATCCATCAAAATCAATAGGATGAAATACAATGGGCTACTATATACAACATACTGGCAATAAGAGTGCCAAAGGAGAAAAGATTTCAAAGCAATTTTTTGACTGCCACTGAAGAGTAGAATAATAAATTATTAATTCATACCAAGTTTGGTTCCTTTACCCTAAAATAGCCTGGGCTTACTCTATAATATTAATCAACTCCCAGGAATTATGAAATATTTCAGAAAATTGCCAACGTTATGCTATTTGTTTTTACACTGCTATACTAAAGCATGCCCTACATATCCATATGAAAAATAAATTCCTAAAATTCTTAAACTGTTACTCCTAACATGCTCATTCTCACAGAACAATAAATTCTTCAAAAAGAGAGACACACACACAATACCAAATGATTTCACTCAAATATGGAATGTAAGAAATAAAACAAACAGAAGGCAAAAAAAAAAAAAAAAACCCCAACAAAACAGACTCTTCAACACAGAACAAAGTGGTGATTGCCAGAGGGAAGTTGGATGGGAGGTATGGGTGAAACAGATAAAAGGGATTAAGAGTACTTTTATCTTGATGAGCACTGAGTAATGTATAGGATTGCTGAATCACTGTACTGCACACCTGAAAATAATACTGTGTTAGCTATACTTCCATTAAAAACAGAAACAAAAGAGAAATGCTAAAGAAATAGCCACTACTTATTGAACTTGCTTCTACCACGCACCAGCACTGTATTAGGTCAAAAAAATTCTACTTCCTCACTATCATTCTTAGGAAAAGAATAATAAATGACTAGTATAAAGGAAACAAGTGCCCAATCTGTATTTCCAATGACATTTATGACAATCCTGAGGACTTAAAAATAAACTTAATCATCTGTATGAAACGAACACTTTGATGGTTTGGTATGACAAATTCTGCTAACATAAAGCTAGTAAGGAGCCACAGAAGTGAAGAACCAGATGTCCCAGAAAAGATTCAGATACTTCTAATGAAGACATTTCCACCTCACTTAATTGACCCACACCTGAAAAAATGTGAATTAGCTTTAAAACTACCCCAGTGAAAAGTTTAAACCACAGTACCCACTGAAGTGCTCTAGAAACAAGCTTATTATTAATCATTTAGATGTATGTGTGTGCATACACTAAATAATCTATAAGATTATATTAAGGATAATTTAAGTGAAATATTACAAAGTATAAGATTCAGAAACCATCAAAAAAGTTATACAGATAGCCTTGCTTGCTTCTTTTGTATTGAGTAACATTATCCTACATGTATTCTTTAAGTAAGTTGGTAAAGAATTCCCTAAAATTCCAATTTCCTATTTCAAAGTAGAGGGTAGCCAATTCAATGAAAAATGCACTCATTTCAGTCACTGTGAGCAAATAAGTTTATAATATAAACATTATTCTCACTTCCACAACTGTATTGTAACTTTTGCTAGAGTTATATACTACTGACATCGAAACTATTACTTTATAAACAAACATTCAAACTATTATCATTTCACCAGTTAAAAAACAAGGACACAAAAGTCTTTCAAATCTTACTGGATATAACTAGAAAATATATATTATTAAATCTAAGTGGTCCATGGCCTTAAGTTACTCTTATCCCCTTGCTCTATTGCTCACTGCCTTAATTTCTTCTTCCTCTCTAAAACTCTACTTATTTCCTCCCTCAAGACATCAGCACAAGCAAGGAATGCGGCCCTCCTCCCGACCAAAAAAACATATCTGAGTAAAATATCAGTTGTTTTTGTCATGATACTGTAATGAACAAAACATTAACTATACCAATGTAAAAGTGAAACGGACCATAACTAGGAATAAAGTGAAACTGATGGAAAGGAAGCAAGGCAGACAGACAGAACCTTGGCTGACTCCATTTTTTAAAGTAGCCTATCACCAGCATAAAAATAAGGCATAACTAGATGACACATTCATTAATGTAAACAGCCAAACACAAATATACACCATGTAATTCAGAGTATTTAACTACTACTGCTCTACTGTTGCAAACACTGAGTCTTTTAAAACTCAAACTAAAAAGTGTATCATTTAACGCAAATCAGAATTATCATAGTTAAGCCCAATGAACAATCCCTATAAATTTCCAATACCAACCAAAAAAATAATGTTTAAGAAATTAAATTGAGGTCATTTCACTATCTGGAAACTTCATCTGTTCTTTATATAATGTTAGATGATAAGAATAACATAGGACATGTCCCCAAAATGTAGCAATCAAGTTCAACGCAAACAACAGCTGATTTATTTCAATACTTAAATGGAGGAACAGACTGGCATTCTTAACCTAAATTCTCAAATAACTTAAAAATAATAAATACACCACTCAAGATACATCTTTTGACAGCTTTTCCATTCTTAACTTTTTCTTAGTCTTCACCCAAATGTCTATGGTTGGTAACTCCCACTTTTGAGACCTCACACTTAAAAATGCCTGACTAGACACTGCCTACCCCAACAGCGTACAAATTCCTTAAAAATTCTAGACTCTTTTTCTCTACTACTGAAAAACAATACAAGTTTACTGGAGACTGTACATTTTTGTTACATCCTGTCAGACTTCTAAGGAGGCAAAATATGAAGGATACCACTGAAACTTAACTTACTTTATTAAACCGTGCAAAGTCCCTGGTTTGAAATACTCAAACATATTAAGAAAGATAAAGTATATTTGGCCAAATACTTACTTGACTTTTGGCTTAAACTAAATATGCATAAGCAAGTTTTTTAATAGAGATATAAGAAACAAAATCCAAGAAAACATCTTTGGTGAAAAAATATAAATTATTCTAGCAAAACAGCAAAACACCTTCTTGCATGAAACTACGTAAACTCAACCAAAAGGCAACTGAGGATACGATTTTCTCTTTTACCACAATTTTAAAATCATATTTATTACTGGTGCATACACAGAGTTCTCCCATCATTTTGTAGATGAGAAAGAACAGCTACTAAATGATAATCATGATCATAGTCAAGAGTGTCCCTATGGTACTTAACTCAAGAACTGAAATTCTAAAAGTACCTAAATCTTTTCTTTAAATTTTCAAAACACTAAAAAAAAAAAAAAACTCTGAATCTAGGAAACATGGGATGCAAAACAACATACGTTTTGCAAAATATTTTACTCTACACATAAAAATAAAAGACGTATGAAACCAGTACCAAAGTCAATCAAAATTGTCTCAGTCTTAAGAGAGAAGATAGTTTAGACTTCTTCCATTCCTAATATAAGCCTGGCGGTCTGTTTGTAAAAAATCATCCTGTTCACATTTATAAATACATACACATACACACACATTTTTAAATACCTCATGACATTAACTTGTTAGAAAACTTCTGATACTGGCAAGTTGGATAAAGTTATTACCTATAGGCCATCTTGAATGAGTTCTCTACCTAACCAACTAATTTTTTTTTCTGACCAACTAATTTTTCATAAATTTCAAATCAAAAAAATAAATGAACAAAATAGTCACCACCTGACTTTTACTTCAAGAAAATACAGCTTTACTTGGGAACAAAGACATTTCAGGACATTTTCCAACAAACTAAAATTATTAATATTCCTAAGGTACAAACACTTTTTTAGCTAATACTCCTCAAAGGCCGATGTACCAACACAGGTGTGGGTGGTGATGTGTGTTGGATGTTGGAATGTGCTCGCGTGTAACACGGGAAGCAGAACTTAAGCCAAGCCTTCAAGCCTGAAGGTCACATGGAGCGTCTGCGCTCATCTCTGATCTATGGCACTACAGAGGGTCTTTGAAATCACATCTCTATTTCGGGAAATGGAGACAAAAATCTCACCGGTTTAGATCTGCATTAAATGTATAGTCCGTCTAACCCTCAAGTGGGAGCTGTTCCCAAACATTCTCCACCAACTACTATCACAAAATTTTTTAACTATTATGTCACGCTATCTGAAGAACATGACAATTTTTGGAAAGCCCATGTTTAGTAGTTTCCTTTGCTTGTACCACAGGGAAATGAAAACAAATCCCCGAGATCACCACCTTCCAGTTCCTGTTGACCTAAGACGTTTCACTATCTCCTCCCCTTTTCAAGAGCGATTTCCAAAGACCGGGAAGGAAAGCTTCCACCAATAAATACCTTTCAACTGAATGTGTGTTACTCCGCCATGCGTTAGGCAACTGTGAGCAATAATCCATTTTGCTCATCACAGAATTATTCAAAAATCTCTTACTATTGACCTCTAAACATAAGTTCTTCCTCCTAAATTCCACATTAAATCAAGGCAATAATTGAGTCGCACGGTTTTACTCTTGGGAAAATATCTACCAAAAACTTAGCAAAAAAAAAAACCTTGAATAATTGGTATCTATACCTTCACTGCACATACATCTAAATGTACGTACCATACCCATTATTTAAGTCTCTGTTATAAATACATGGTACACGGACCATCTATCTGCCTATCTACACACTGATGACAGAGTCTAGGGCTTACTCACGGCAACTCCCCGGCGACAATTAAATCCCAGCGCCCACCTCCAGGGAGCTTACTGAAAAATACAAACTCACCCCATTCCAGGTATTCAAGAATGTTCTTCTCTCTTCGCAGCGGAGAATTATTGCATTCATCATAAAGGCAGATGAGTATATCCAACAGCGTCTCCACACTGAAGCATTGCCCATTGGTCTGAGCGGGCCCGTCCAAAATGAACTGCTCCAACTGCCTCAAACGCACTTCCCCGGACATGTTTGCTTCGGGGTCCGCCGCTCTTCCCTTCAGTGAGTATTACAGTTTGCACTTCGAGTATGTGATCCTAAGTTTTATAAGGTGCGGTTTTTAAAAATAAACCCTTCGTCCCGCACACCACTGTCGTGCACGGCAGGTACTGAATGACACCCCGACACGCCAGGAAGCTCCCGTCACCGAAGCGTCTTCGATCCCGCACAGATGCATGTATCGGGAGGGAAAGTTACCATAAAATAGATCTCTAAAACATCTTAAAAAGAATAATACAATTAAGTCGTATATTTAAATAAAATAATAATTAAAAGTACAGCGAACCAAAGAGTCAGGACTTCTTTTTAAAAAAGAAGAAGAAGAAAACAAAATACAACTCTTCTCCTTCATTCAAAATTCAGCTCGTGCAACACAATCCCGCAACGAATCCGGCTGCATCATTAATGAATCGGGTCCGATCCGCATCAGCAATTCACTTCCCGGGAAGGAGGAAGACGGAAAAGGGAGGAAAGCCCCAGAAGGTACATGGGGGAGGGAAAAGCTCGGCGCTGCTGCAAAGGCTGCCGCCCGCCGCTGGGAGAGCGCCCCGGCGGCGGCGGCGCGGCGGTGGCGGCGGCGGGGAGGGGGCGAGGTCCCCGAGGCAGCCCCTCGGCTCGCCGCCCGCCCGGTCCCGCCCGGAGGACGCTCTTCCTTTCTCCTCCCGGCGTCCTCCTCCTCACGGCTCCGCGGCGAGTCGTCTCTCCCGCGGATTCCGGTCGAAACTCCTCATCTCCCTCGCAGCGTCTGCCGGGGCCTGACGCGCGGCGCGGCCGGGACGGGAGCGCGGGCTGCGGCGGCGCTCGCCCCGGCTCCGGGGGGCTGCGGCTACTCGGCCGCCCGCGCCCGCCCCATGGCGGGGGTCGCCGGCCGGGGGCCTGTGCCGCGCCGGGCGGACAGCCGCTCTCCCCCCTCGACCGCCCCAGGCTCCCGACGCCCTGGCGCGGGGCGGGCGGGGGGTTGGGGGGGTCCGGATTCAGAGGACGCTGGCGGCTCCTTCTCCCCCTTCTTCACGCCCCGGGGCTAAGGGCATCTTTCCCCGACGAGGCGCAGGAGGAGGGGTGGGTGCCGCCGCTGAGGCGAGCAGAGGCTGCGGCAGCCGGGCTCGCAGCCACTCCCTTCCTCTCCGTCCCACCCCTCCCCCGCCTTCCCGGCCTGGCGCGCTCGCGCCCTGGGCTCCGCGAGGCTCCCCCAGCCCCCGCCGCGCGCGCGCCGGCCTGAAGCGCGCCGCCGCGCCAGGATCCAATATGGCGACGCGGGCGCGCGCGAGCGCACCGCCCCCTACGCGCGCCGCCCCCGCTCGAGTCCGAGTCCGCGGGCCCAGCGGGGGTCGGTCCCGCGCCCGCGCGGAGCAGAGCGGAGGCCTCAGCGGGCCGCGGGCCGTTGCACCCCACCCCCTCCCAACAGGACGGCCGGAGCCGGCGGGGCCGTGGCCGCCGCGACGTGGAACGCAGGGATGCAGGAGGACCCGCGGAGGCCTCTCGTGCGGACCGCCATCGGGCCTCGCCCGGCGCGCTGGAAGCACCACCTGCCCCGCACGTTTGCTCTGGGTTTGGGGGTGGAGGGGCGCCTTCCAGGAGCTGCCGGCGTCAGGCCCCCCCAGACCGGCGGAGGACCGTGCCTCTCTTACCGCCCCTCACCTGTGCACCACCCGCCCTGCCAAATGCGGCGCCCGAGCTCAGCCGACTGGCAGTTCCCCCGGTGTCTAATTACACCACTTCGTGTGTCATTCCCAGGACAAATGCAGTGACACACTTGTGGGCGCTACCGTCCTAGTCGGGAGAGTGTGTGCCAAGGGCACAGTGCCCATCTCTTCTCCCGAAACTTTCCCTACGCGCACCACTGGCTTTCCTCCTCCGGAACCACTCCAGCTCCTGCCTGTTCGTCCCTCGCCAGGGCTACCACCTACAGGGGTTCAGCGGATGCGCGGAGTCAGGATCTGGCTCCGCGGGCTTCGAACCTCCCGCCCCCGTGTGCGCGCACACGCACACACGCGCGCGCCCCGGACATGTGCCCCAGTGGCACTGCAGATGCTGGGCAGCAGCGGCAAGTCATTCGGCTGCCACGGCCCCTGACGCATTTAAGCATTTAGGGTCTTCCAGGTGTTTTCTAGTCTTGATTTCAGAAGAGACCTGTTTACTAATTTCTCATGGAAGGCCCCGCAGGGAAATGTATCACCAAACTGGGTCACTGCGCTTCTGTCATTTCCTCTCAAAATTGCCATATCCTTTACAATTTTCCTCTGAAATATGATTATTTTATATTATCTGCCTATGCCCGTGGGCCAATTATGTTTTCTGCTAATGCCCACAATTGCATCTTTTTTACCTCTTAGTAATATGGAAGCTGAGGAGCAACTAGAAATGAAATCTAAGAAATGAAGGCTAACGGAAATCATTCAAGTTTCTGTGATTCACAAAACACTATGAATTTCCCGTGAAATCTACGGTTGCGACGTCTACACTGGCCTGGCTTAAATAAGGACAGTATTATTTCCCATGTGCTGTTGACACATGAGTGACTCTTAGACAAAAGGTGAATCATTTCTAGCCATGACGTCTATGTGTGTGTGTTGTCTAATTATGCAAGTAATAAAAGAAAAACGAAATGTTTAATCCTAACACAGATAATAATGTTTTGGTGTTTGTTATGCAAGGCTTCTTCCCCCGCATTTTAATAAAATGATACAAAATAAAAGAGGTTTATAACCTCTTCTTTTCACCTAGCAATATACTATAAACATCTCTTCAGCTCAACAAAGGTTCTTCAACAACATGGTTGCTAATAGTGAAGCCAAGACATTTTAACAATCCCATTTGACCTTGAGGTGGGGTAGCCAAGAAAGAAGCCCTTTCTTCAGCTTTTCCACCATAGAACTGACTCCAAGATACTTACCTATCCAACTTGAAAATAACTGTAAAGACAAGCTTAAAAGAACCTAAATATGTGAGGTTTCCATGAATACTAAATAACGGGGAAAGTATGTGAGATACAGATACATTTTTTTTTTAAGATTGTATTTATTTATTTGACAGAGCTCACAAGTAGGCAGAGAGGCAGGCAGAGAGAGGGGAGAAAGCAGGCTCCCCGCAGAGCAGAGAGCCCGATGCGGGGCTCGATCCCAAGACCCTGGGATCAGGACCTGAGCCGAAGGCAGAGGCTTTAACCCACTGAGCCACCCAGGCATCCCCAGATACATGTTTTTTAACAGAAAAGTAAAGCTGCCAGTCCTCTCTCTACCTATTCTGTTAGCACTTGGGTACCACCCACAGACCAGGGTATTGACGGTTGCTTAATAACCTTTTCCACATTATTTAGAGAGTCAAGGGGAGGACTTATTTTTATTTAAAAAAAAAAAAAGGCACAAAGAGAAGGAAGAAGGTTGAACCCAATCAATTTGGCTTGAATAATTCAAGCTCAGAGACTTAATAATTAACTAGACACTAAACACATTGTGCGGGTGTTATTTTAAATGTTCCGGTTGAAGTGTGAACATGCTTGTTAATGAAACCGGTCTTAAGCCAAAGAAAGGCGCAGCCCCAGCAGCCCCACAGCACTTGAAGTGTTCCTGGGAAGCCGGAGTGGCATGGTGTTCTCTGGGAAAGGAGCCTGGAGGAGGTCTTTGTGAAATTCTGCTCAGGGACCTGCAGATCAGATGTACGCTACCACAAACACAATCTTTTTGAAATTATCGTCAGAAGTTTTATACGAAGGTGCTGGGAATTATTCAGACTGTTCAGGACAGAAAAGACAGACTAGGACCAGAAGAGAGGAGAGTGAAAAGAGTAGGACAAGACAGGAGTCACTAAGCCTAGGCTCCAATGCAAGCTCTTTTCATCTATCTACTCCTCTGATTCTAACCTAAGAGCAAGAGAATCCCGGCACCAGCAAATATTTGTAACCACCAACCCTACCCTTACCTTGCTGGGTCTTACTCCAGAATGATGGCTGGTGGAGAACAGGACCCAAAGTGTGGTGCGTGCCATATCACATCCCCTTTCCACACAGCACATCCTGACCCTGCAAATGATCAACCTGCTTTATCACTCTCTGAGGTTGAAACCCCACTTGTCCTCACTTCACATCTGGCTCCCAACATGAGTAACACCAACTGCAAAGGCTTACCTTATGAAAAAGGCAGACTTTGTAATTAATAATTGCTTCCTTTACAGAACACTGGCAGTGGGTAAACACTGTCCTGAGTCCTTTGGACACATTTTTCTATTCAGTCATCATAAGCATAGGAAGTAGAAAAATTATCATCTCCATGTCATAGACGAGAAGACGAGGTCTAGGGAACTTAGATCCACAGCTAGCAAGTGACCAAGGACCTGTGGGTCAACACCAGGCCCACCCGGTCATGCCAGGGCCCATGGTTTGTTTTACTTGTGCATTTATTCATGCATTTATTTTTAGATTTTATTTTTAAGCAATCTCTACACCCAACATGGGGTCCAAACGTACAGCCCCAAGATCAAGAATCACATCCTTTACCAACTAAGCGAAGCCAGCCAGGGAGCCCCAGAGCCCAGGGTTTTTTTGTTTTGTTTTGTTTTGTTTTGTTTTTAAAGACTTTATTTATTTATTTGACAGAGAGATAAAGAGATAGAGCACAAGTAGGCAGAGTGGCAGGCAGAGGGAGAAGGAGGCTTTCCACTGAGTAGGGAGCCCAATGCGAGGCTAGATCCCAGGACCCCAGGACCATGACCTGAGCCGGCCGCTTAACCAAACAAGCCACCCAGGTGCCCCGAGGGCCCAGGGTTTTAAAGATGACACAAGTGTGGTCTGAAAGTGCAGAATTCTATTGTAACCAAGAAGCAGGAAAATAGAGTTGTCTGTTCACATATTTGGGCCTTAGAAATTGACATTCAGGCAAAAGAGGGAAACCAGTATGATGTGTCAGGGTACAACGAGGAAACCAGAAATCACCTATGTATTTGAACCAAGGGAACCATAATTCTGGGAAATGATTTCACAGGTGATAGGAGGGCTGAGGAAACAGACAAGGGAGAACAAGGTTTTACCCAAACTACCACAAAAAAAAAAAAAAAAAGATAAAACAAATGTTTTATCTCTGAACAAACATTAAGTGGTTTTGAAGTGCCTGGTTTTAACATAGGAGAAATTTTCACTCCTCTCTTTTCAGATTTATTTTGTTTTTTAATCCCTCAAAAAGGTGAAAAAACCAACCAACCAAACCCTACTCATCTAGGGCAACTTTAATTAGGTTCACAGACTAACGTCCCATTTGCTCATCAATGGATCTTATCTATCTTTAAATCTCTTGCTTAAACTTCTCATTAGAGCTCTGCATAAACAAGCTCTACCATAAATGGAATTTTCAAAAATATGCTTCGGGTCATTATCTATACTTACTGTATAGATAATGTCTGTCCACTATTGGACCTATTTAGGAAATTTGAACACTAAGAAGAGAGGTGGTCTTCTCTTGTAAATTCCATCAACAGGGAACATTTGGCAAGACTCCATGGCCATGTGTGATGACAAAACCCAAGCCCACGAAGCCAGTGTGTTCCTCTCAGGCCTGAGGTGACACTGGAGGTGACACGGCCTACACCCAGGGGCTGCCAGCTGAAGAAGTGAGAATTGGAGAATCCAGTTACCACACATGGAAATTATTCAGGTCCAGGTGAGCAATGACTTCCATATTACCAAAGCCAATGATCATTGATCCTAAGCCCACTTTTCATGTGACCTTTTAGAGGTACTCAATAGGACTGATCGCCCCCCTTAAATGAAACACCTTTCCTTTTTTTTTTTTCAATTAAATTTAATTTTTTTTCAGTGTTCCAAGATTGTTTGTGCACCACACCCAGTGCTCCATGCAATACATGCCCTCCTTAATACCCACCACCAGGCTCACCCAATACCCCACCCCTCAACCCCCATAAAACCCTGTTTGTTTCCCAGAGTCCACAGTCTCTCGTGGTTCCTTTCCCCCGCCGATTTCCCCCAACTCACTTCTGCTCTCCCAACTTCCACTGTCCTCTGTGTTATTCCTTATGCTCCACAAGTAAGTGAAACCATACGATAATTGACTCTCTGTGCTTGACCAATTTCACTCAGCAGAATCTCCTCCAGTCCCGTCCATGTTGATACAGAAGTTCGGTATTCATCCTTTCTGATG